TTTATGACTGTATTTTTGTACAATAAATTACATTGACTTTTTTGGTAAGCCTTGTTTGCCGGTAGTATAACCTCTTGCCTACCCAGAGGGCTTTACCTTCTGGTTAGGATATTTTGTTTATTTATTTTTTGTTCACTGGTGGAATTCATATAGCCACCCTGGCAGCAGGATCATAAACTAGTTCCTGTGCCAGGGCCTGTTATATAGTTTTGCAGAATTTGAGGGTCTGAGACCCAAACCATCACTCCGGTTTCACACTCTTCGGCCTATAATATAGACTATTTTTTTAGAAACAATTACAAACATCTATACTTACCTGCTGTGCACAGTGGGCAGCCTGGATCCTCCTCTTCTTGGATCTCACGCAGGCTCTACTGTCCGCTCTTTTCTGGTGGGTGCCCCCACAGCAAGCATCTTGCTATGGGGACACAGGCTGCTCCGTGTGTCCATTCACACACTGACTCCTGGCTCGGCCCCACCCCCTCTCTCTTCTCGTTGGCTCACTGGCTGTGATTGTCAGCAGTGGGAGCCAATGGCTCCTGCTTCTTTCTCAGCCAATGAGAAGAGGGAGTCTTGTGATAGCCAAGACTCCAATGCACATCTCTGGATTGAGAGGGTGCTTAAGTGAGTATTGGGGGGGCTGGGGGTGATGCTGCACACAGAAGGTTTTTTACCTTCATGCATAGAATGCATGAAAGTAAAAAATCTTGAGCCTTTAGAACCACTTTAACTGCATAGGGGCCTCAAAGTCAATGGATACAGTCCTGGTCTGTCAAACGTCATTCCAAGCACCTGGCCCAAAATGACACCTGGGTCATGGTGTACAAGGCTCGTAGTCCTGATAGGATACCTGTCAACATCACCAGACTGGCCAACCTACCTTCAGCTGACCACCTCCAGTTCCCTAACCAAAAGTACTCTGTACTCACTCCGCAGGTATAGGTTATGCTTTGATCCACCGTAAAATAGTCCATATCCTTCTAGGGCTTGTCTTTACTGAAGATAGGGTATAATAGAATAGTCAGCTGTAAGCATAGTACCATCTTTCATGGCTAGCTGAGTTCAGCTATTTTGCCCACTAACAGGGAATTACACTGGGATGTCATCCCTGCTTTCTTGGTGGAGCCCACTTGAGAAAAGAACTGTGAGGGATGGGCTCCTGCTACTTAACGAGCAGCTCTTTCAGTGCTCAGAAGCTGCTCAGCTAGTGGTTAATTACCATCCTGTCATTGTCTCCACAGTGACTCACCTGGATACCATTACCTGCCTCATTAGTCCAGCCTACAGCCAGCCCTTTTTGCTAGTTTAGCAGCTGAGCTCATTTCCTCCTAGCCCTTGCGTGGTCTATGATCTCCAGTGTGTTACTGCCTGTGTTCCTGTGTACAATTTGGTCTGGCTGACTTCTCTCCCAATTCTTATTCCTGATTTTTGGCTCCTGACTATGCTCACTTCTGGTTTCCTGACCCTGGCCCATCTAATTACCTGCTCTGGCATTCAAACCCTGGCTTCTGTTTTGACTACGTTCCTGAACTCTGTTATTTTTGCTATTTCATTAAAGGTGTAACTGCACTTTCTGTCTCAGCATGGTTTATGGTTCCTGAGAAGAACATATGGCATTTCCCAAAAGTCCTGTCAGCCTTCCTGGTAGGGTCCATTCAGGAGAAGAACATATGGCATTCCCCAAAAAGGGTGTAAGCTGTGTACCGTGGTGGGCTCCCCAAGGTACAGTGAAGTCACGAACGAGGAAAGCCATCTCAACACTAGCTTTTACCACAACAGAATTTTACTTAGATGTGGCAAATAAACACAACCCCAAATGCTGGAAACATACAATAAATTTACATACACCCAACCTAAAGGCTGAGACCCTTGTGCTGCACAGCACGGCGCCTCCTGATGGAAGAAGGTAGAAAGTGAAGTAATTTACCTACTGGCGGGCACAACTAAGCTGCCACACCTTACCTGTTATTACCCTAAAAGAGCAGGAATCAGTGTATGGGTGTATGGTATGGGCTAGCCTGCGGTGCAGCACAACAGCTTACAATCTTACACAAATCTACAGTATTCCCCCTCCCATAACTGGTCCTGTAGCACATGCCTGAGTATTCCTTCTGAACAAAACGCCAGTCTGGCTTGAGTTTGTAGGATTTTATCCGCTCTCCAATGTGAAATGTCACTTTAAGTTGTGGAGTCCTTCCAATAATCAGTAACAACACTTGTGGCCTGACACAAACAGAGACCCTAACTAACTATAGGCCTGGTCGCAGTCTATAGGTGCCAACACTGAAATGAGGTGCGGGCATAATCTTACCGACCCAGGTCTGCTTTTCATCCGCTGGTAACTCTGAACAGAACAAATGTCTCTCCAACAGGCCTGCGATATTGCAGTGTATGCTGCGTTGTTCCTCTGCTCTCATCAGCTTCCTGGCAGAAATCTCATCAGCTTCCTGGCAGCAATCTCATCAGCTTCACCCAGCTGCAGCTCACACGGCCCCTTCTTTCAGCATTCTCCAGAACATGGCTCCTGCCTCCTCTTCCTGTTTCCTAAACTCCAACTCTGTGTGAAAACTCCACCTCTTCATGAATATACAAGTATCTATGCAGTCTGAGCCTGTGTTAGAAAAACAGTGACATCTTGTGGCTAAACTGCAGAATGTCAGTCAAAGCATCAATTTACTTCCACACAGTGTTCAAACAATGAGAGCTGTTTCCCCATCTCACAAGGGGAAGGCCATTATCCCATCTTAAATTATCTGTGTTTCGGCCCACATTCACCAACTAGAGTTAAGACTGAAAACTACTTCTACTCACTCTTCTTCTCCCTCTTTTCTTTGCTCTCCTTTTTCTTTCTATTTAAAGCCCTAAATAGAAAAGGCAGTGGGAACCCCTAGAGGGAATTAAGAGAAAAACACCCTCCTACCACCATGTTACCATGACAGTGCCTTGCATGTGGTTTTAGTCATTCCCTCATTTCTATCATTTCTACCTACCTGCCTTAAAATATTGTCCATTTTGACACAGGCAAGACCTGACCCCTCTCATTTTAACCTGAAAGCCCATAATAACAATAATTTAGCCAGACTTCATATGTTCCTAATAAATATATACAGTATATTCATGCTTACTGAGTTTTTATTTTTTATCAATCACTCATTAATTGTATTTCAGTTCCAAGAGGTAACAATACCCTTTAAATGTGAAATGCAATTCTTTTTTAAGAGCACAGCATGTTTATGTCTGAAATTACAGGTTTTTAGCGTTTTGTTCCAAGGCTGACAGCCGGTGAAAGGTACTAAATTGCTGTGGATAGTGGAGATACTCTTGAAAGTCAATAATCCACCACACTTCATGATAACTAAAAGGAGATGAAGAGGATGGCTATGGAGAGGCCGGTATCTGCGGAGGAATGAGCCATTTACTTATATCAGCACATAAGGGGTGATTAAATATGACATCAAACCAAATAGGATTTCTTCTTATGAATCTTTTGCTAGCTGTTCAGTGTCTGTCTGTGTAAATCTTATTGCTATCCAAATATTTCCAGACCTCTGTTACGCCATACAATAATGCTTGTAATGCGCTGCGTAAATAGAGATAAGATGATGGGATGGGAGATAGAGAACCGCTGATCGCAGTGAACCTTTGCATTGCAAAAAAAAAAAAGTGACAGAGCAAAGAAAAGTAACATAACCTCATGGTTTTCATTTGTACAATATCACATGGTGTAACGGAACTGACCCAGATTGCGCTTGAGTACTTCCATTAGAATACCGCTTCCCCGTCCGAACATTGACAACAGACACCCCAGCCGACCATACAAGACTAGATGACACCAGTCTTGAACTAAACCAGGAGGTAGACTAGTTTATTTGAACACAGTTACAAGATATATACACTCAGGGGACAGTCCCCCCTCCCTGCATAATGACACAGGTCGGAGCAATCTACATTTAGTAACAAGAGACACACAGGTATTCAAACTTCACACCAGCATACAGTCCCATCAGGAGGGATGGCTGCTGGAGACACCCCCCCCCTCCACTAATCTAATACACATAAACACATACATCCCATAATAGTTTTCTCCCAAACAATAGAACAATGGGATGCAGCCACATAACATCAAACAATCAACAACCCCCACCCCAATATTAGGACAGATCACCCTGTATCCCTAACAGGCACAGGGTGATTTACACATAAGACGGATATGGGGAGCTGAGACAGGGGTCTCCCCACCTCTCCAAAGTGACCTAGGTTACATGGGCCCCCCACCCAAAGTGACTCCCGTCACACATGGGTTGTATTCATGTGCGTTTCACATACCTTGAATTACAATGCATTTTTGAAAGGCATGTATTGACTTGTGGACCTTTACCCGTTATTCTGTTTCAAGCACCCTCTTTATGCATTGACATACCTCCTTTATACCTCAGTCAATCTGGCCAGTATATATTACAAAGCCACACCTAACTAAGAGTGTAATACCCCCTCAGACCCAATGCAGAAATACCTCCCCCCAGAGGCCACAAATGTAGGTAAAGGCAATGTCCAACCAAATAAAATAAATAATTAGAGTCCTTCCAAAGTTCTCTGTGTACCCTGATAGAGTCTTCTTTAACCACCTCCCGCCTGCCATATAGTAATATGACGGGCGCAAGGTGGTTATCTCGTTCGAGGAGGATGTCATATGATGTCCTCCCATTCTCACTGCGCATGCCTGGGGAGTGCGCAGCCCGTCGATCGGCGGTGCGCTGTGTCCCTCTGACACAGGGATCACCGATCACGGAAAGAGCCGAAGATGTCGGCTCGGTCATGTGATCAGCTGTGTCCAATCACAGCTGATCACATGTAAACAGGGAAATGCTGGTTATTGGCATTTCTCTCCTCTCGAGCTGTCACGCTGACAGAGGAGAGGAGAGCCGGTAATCGGCTTTTCCGCGGGGGGGGGACATGTACACTGATCATCAGGGCACTGATGATCAGTGTAGCCCCAGCAGTGCCACCTGTCAGTGCCCATCAGTGCCTTATGTCAGTGCTAATCAGTGCCTCGTACCAGTGCCCATCAGTGCAACATCAGTGCCACATATCAGTGCCTACCAGTGCACATCAATGCCATATATCAGTGCCCATCCGAGCTGCCTTTCAGTGTCACCCATCAGTGCCAGTCAGTGCCACCTATCAATGCCAATCAGTGCCGCCTATCAGTGCTGCCAATCAGTGCCACCATCAGTGCCAGTCAGTGCCACCTATCAGTGCCAGTCAGTGCTGCCTATCAGTGCGCATCAGTGCCGCCTAACAGTGCCAGTCAGTGCCACCTATCAGTGCCAGCCAGTGCCGCCTATTAGTGCCAGTCAGTGCCACCTATCAATGCCAATCAGTGCCACCTATCAGTGCTGCCAATCAGTACCACCTATCAGTGCCGCCTATCAATGCCGCCTATTAGTGCCAGTCAGTGCCGCCTATCAGTGCCATATATCAGTGCTGCCTTTCAGTGCCCATCAGTGATGCCTGTCAATGGCCATCAGTGCCACCTACCAGTGTCTCCTCATCAGTGCCCATCAGTGCCACCTATCAGTGTCCATCAGTGCAGCCTATCAGTGCCTATCAATGCAGCCTCATTACACACATCAGTGAAGGGGAAAAATCACTTATTTACAAAATGTTATAACAAAAACTAGGAAAAAACATTTTTTTTTCAAAATTTTCAGTGGTTTTTGGTTTGTTTAAGAAAAAATAAAAAACCCTGAGGTGATTAAATACCACCAAAATAAAGCTCTATCTGTCACAAAAAAATGATAAAATTTTCATATGGGTACAATGTTGCATGACCGCGCAATTGTCATTCAAAGTGCGACAGTGCTGAAAGCTGGAAATTGGCCTGGGCAGGAAGGGGGTATAAGTGCCCTGTAGGCGAAGGGTTAAGTTAAAGAAGACTCTATCAGGATACACGGAGAACTTTGGAAGGACTCTAATTATTTATTTTATTTGGTTGGACACTGACTAATTTGTTAATTTAGCGACCTTTATCGCCTTTACCTACAAGTCTGGCCAGTATGGTCACCTGCTAAATAAGCCCCCTCTACAACTAGCTTAGCTCTCTAATAAGACACGGCAGTTTAATCCAACATAGTTTTACTTGTTAAAATGCAATACATGGGATGTTCACCGGTCATTTGATGTGTAAAGGGACAATAACCTTCAAAACCTTATGCCTGTTATGAAGGCTGGTACCTTACTGAGGGAATATAAAGAACATGAACAAAAATAACTGGCCCCCAACATGCAGGGAAACTAGATTGTACCATTAACAAACATAAAAATATCAGGTGATAGTTACAATTAATTGGCACTAAATGTCACTACTAAGACATTGTTACATAAATATTGAAATCCAATACTACAATAATGAATACATGCCAAGTTTCAAAACACACCTTAACCTCTTTGCACCAACAGTACGCATGTATGCGGCCTCTTGGGCCATCTTTCCTGAGAATGCATGCCCGCTGTGTCCAGAGAACACCGATCGCTGTACGGGACCTCTGTGTGAGGTCCCGATTCATGTGATAACTGATTGGCCAATCAGTGATCACATGAATAGTAGTCAACAAGATGTCACTTCCTGACATCATTGCTTACTACTAGTAAAATCTGTGAATGATCACAGAGGTCACATGGTCATATGCAGGGGCGGACTGACAACTCATGGGGCACCTGGGCAATAGGGGATCATGGGGCCCATGTGTCCTTGCCTAAACTCAAAAAAGCCTATGAAAAAGGTACCAAGGGAATCTCATGGGGCCCCCTACTGACCCCGGGCCCTCGGGCAGTGCCCGAGTTTCCAAATGGTCAGTCCGCCCCTGGTCACATGGTACAAGGCCATTCACAACAGCCTTGTACCATGTGACCAATCACAGCTCGCACAGTATTTCTCAATGGCTGCAGGAATGCAGCCAGGGAGAAGGAGAAATTATTGCTCTTACAGCCTTTATGGGAGTAAAAGCAATCAATGTAAAAAAGAAAACAAAATCACCATCACCCCCCACAAATAGTACAGTGTCACTATGGTCACACTGTACTGCTAAGGTGATAGTATGTTTAAAAAAAAAAACATAAATAATAATATATAAAAAATAAAATTAAAATGTAAAAAAAATTGTGAAAAAATATACATTTTTGGTTATAAACTAATTTGGGTTTTTTTTACTAAAAAGATAGATGAATACATTTTAACCAAGATTTATGAAGAAAGATTATTTATTTGCAAAATTTTATAAGAAAAACACTTTTTTTCAAAAATGTTGAAATTTTTCATTTATATAGCAAAAAAATAAAAATCCCAGTGGTGAATAAATACCACCAAAATAAAGTTTTATCTGTCTAAAAAAAATGCTAACAAATTCATATGGGTACAGTGTTGCATGACCGCGCAATTGTCATTCAAAGTGTGATAGAACTGAAAGCTGAAAATTGGCCTGGACAGGAAGGGGGTAAAAGTGTCCGGACTGGAAGTGGTTAAAATAAGTAAATATGATATTCTTTCCTATCTATTTACTAATGCTAGCAGCATAAGGAGTCAATATAGTCAATGTTGATTGAGAGGCTGAAGTTTCACTTTAATACAAAAACAATGCTGCATACAGCTCTGCCTGCTGAATATATAACACAGTTTTATGCAGACATACACCCTGTTCCAAATTATTATGCAAAAATTATATTTTTCTCATTTACCTAAATAATTGATGTAAATAACAGTCAGCATAATTCTCAGGTTATCAACTATTAGAGTACAATTCACATTTTATTGAACAAACCTCCTAATGATAACAGGATTTTTGTTAAACATAAAACACTTACAATGACTGTTCCAAATTATTCCGCACAGTAAGTTTCAAAACACTTTATAGGTTGTAAAGAACTGAAAATTGTCATTTGTTGTGTTTGCAGCATATTTACTGAAATCAAAAGCTGTTTCAATCAAACTTTTAACAACATTTTCACTTTTTGAACATTTTAACAGGTCACGTTACATTGTAACATAGGACCCCTTATTTGATAGCAGCTTCACAAGTCTTGCATCCATTGAACTTGTGAGTTTTTGGACAGTTTCTGCTTGAATTTGTTTGCAAGATGTCAGAATAGCCTCCCAGAGCTGCTGTTTGGATGTAAACTGCCTCCCACTCTCATAGATCTTTTGCTTGAGGATGCTCCAAAGGTTCTCAATAGGATTGAGGTCAGGGGAGGATGGAGGCCCCACCATGACTTTCTCTCCTTTTATCCCCATAGCAGCCATTGATGCAGAGGTATTCTTTGCAGCATGAGATGGTGCATTGTCATGCATGAAGATGATTTTATTACGGAAAGCATAGTTCTTCCTTTTGTACCAGGGAAGAAAGTGGTCAGTCATAAACTCCACATACTTTGCAGAAGTCATCTTTACACCTTCTGGGACCCTAAAGGGCCCGACCAGCTCTGTTCCCATGATTCCGGACCAAAACATGTCTCCACCACCGCCTTGCTGATGTCGCAGCCTTGTTGGAACAGGGTGGCCGTCCACCAACCATCCACTACTCTATCCATCTGGATCATCTAGAGTTGCAAGGCACTCATCAGTGAACAGGACTGTTTGAAAATTAGCCTTCATTTATTTTTCTGCCCAATGCAGCCGTTTCTGCTTGTGAGCATTGGTTAGTGGTGGCCGAATAGAAGGTTTATGCACAGTTGCAAGACTCTGGAGGACTCTACACCTTGATGTCCGTGGGACTCCAGAGGCACCAGCAGCTTCAAATATCTGTTTGATGCTATGTAATGGTATTCTAGCAACTGCTCTCTTGATCCGATGCATGGATCTGGCAGAAATCTTCCTCAATGTGCCTTTATCTGCACGAACCCGTCTGTGCTCTGAATCAGCCACAAATCTCTTAATAGTGCGATGATCACGCTTAAGTTTTCGTGAAATATCTAATGTTTTCATACCTCGTCCAAGGCATTGAACTATTTTACTCTTTTCAGTAGCAGAGAGATCCTTTTTCTTCCCCATATTGCTTGAAAATGGTGCTCTGCTTAATAATGTGGAACACCCTCCTTTAGTAGTTTTTCCTTAAACTGGGCTCACCGGCCAATCTAATTATCACAGGGGTCCGAGATTGTTTTCAGTGATCAAAAGAGCTCTGACACACAATGCCATCCATGAGTTAAACTGAAAAACAAAATATTTCATCTTTGTGACACTTAAATAGAATTTGCATAATAATTTGGAACAGGGTGTATGTTGAAATACCATTGTATTGCTTCCTTCCTTTTTCAGGTGTTCATAGACACTGGTGACATAGTCCTGGACTCATAGGTGCCCCCTGGGAAGGCTATGTCACTACCAGAGGCGGATTGACAACTCATGGGGCCCCTGGGAAATAGGGGATCATGGGGCCCCTGTGTCCTTGCCCAAACTCAAAAAAGCCTATGAAAAAGGTACCAGGGGTATCTCATGGGGCCCCCTACTGACCTTGGGCCCTCGGGAAGTGCCCGAGTTTCCAAATGGTCAGTCCGCCCCTGATCACTACCAATGCTTTCCATGAAGTTCTCATCGTCCAGCTGTAAATTCTTGTGAAATCACTTGAGATCTCAATTATAAGCCCCCCCCCCCTCCTTTTTTTTTCTTTTTGCAATGTGAGTGTTGGTCTGTCTCTCACATTACTAACATCATGGCAATGCAAAACAATTACAAAATGTGCCAGTTCTCCTACAGCACATGTGCGAAATCTGAGACAGACATCATTGGTGGAAGAAGTCAGCCACTGATGACATTTTGTTTTCCAATGGAGATACAGGGTCTGGAGCAAGGGGTGGACAGACCAGGTGGATTGGAGAAAAACAAGACAAAAGTGGCATTTAAAGGAAAGTGAGTTTTCATATATGCATTTCAGTAGTGCTGCATTTTTTTGGAGGGTGTCCACTTTGAAGCTGACCTCCAATATAATCAAATATTGTATAAATGCAATAGTCCTGTGTATTCTCCATTAAATCTTGGTGTAATTTGTTTATTTCTTCCAGGTCTGTGCAGTAATGTAATGTTTCTGTAATAAAGACCACTCACTGCTGCTCTCTCCCTTGTTAAGGGTGACTGGTCTTGTCTCCGCCCCCTTCTGTAGTTTTCTAAAGGCAGCCTTTGGTGGGTGGAGCTGCATGGCTCCTCCCTCAGTTCTGCTCTTTGCACAGGCAATGTACAGCATGGTGATGATGTCAACCCTACATTACCAGCACCGAGATGAAGTCTCACACTGGATTACTGCACAAATCTGAAAGAATGACACAAAGCACACCAAGATTCAAGGAAGAATACACAGGATGAATGCTTGTATATTTGCTTGTCTCGGGATTCAGATTTAAAGTGA